TTGTATTTGTCTTGCACTAAAAATCATGTCAGCTGTACCTCGGTTGGGTCTAAATTCACACTGTGTCTCTAGGAGGTTCTCTTCGGCAGTTGGGATTAAACGATTTGATAATATCCTGGCAAGTATCTTTCTCGCAACAGAAAGTAGAGATAATCCTCAGTAGTTTCCACATTGAGCCTTGCCCCCCTTTTTAAAAATGGTAACTAGGGCGGAATCTCTAGTTCGGCAGGTATGGTCTCAGTATTCCATATTTTACTTATTAGGATGTGATGTCGGTTTGGGCACTTAGTGTGGGACCTCCTTGTTTCCAGAATTCAGCATAAATGCTGTAAGTACCAGCTGGCTTATTGTTCTTTAGTTGTCTGATTGCATTTCCAACCTTCTCTAATCTGGGAACCTCGCTCAGTTCTTGTTGTAATGGTTCTTGTGGAATTTCGTCATCATTAATTTGTAGTTCCTGAAAGGGTTTCTTCCAACGAAAATTAATAGAAGAACTGTCTTTAGGCAGTCGGGTTGACTAATGTTTGACAAAAGCTGGGTACGCATATGAGCATGAACGCGAATGAGGCAATTCGAGGCCGAACCATTTGCCTCGGATTCGGGAAGAAATAAATTTTTGGGTGACCTGAATAGGGGACGCACGAGGCGTTGTACGGAATCGATCCATAATTAGGTGGTGAGCATTCTTGTTGTTATTAATTTGAATTTTCAATCGCTTTCATCTCAAAACAACACGTGGACTGCCTCGACCTCGAAATTAATTTTTTAAAATTTCCATCCACACTGAGCACACATCAGCAGCGCACAAGCAGATGCCTCACTTTGATGTACCGCCAACAAATGGATCAGGTCGAGGCCAAATGCATGCGGGTTCAAACAAATTTGCACGCCTCGTTCAGACGTACACATACGTATGCTCATGCGTCCCCGGGCTGCCTCATTCGCGTTCATGCTCATATGCGTACCCTGCTTAAATCTATTTTCTCAGAAACTATTGATCTGAGCGAAACCAGCGAAATAAAAAATTAGATGCAAATGTTGGGGCTACAATCTGTGCAAAATAAAGCTATCATTTGTGTTTCATGCAAATGTGCAGGTATTTACGTTTTATTTAATTTCGTTCGAGCATTTTTTACATTGTACGTCGGGGCTCCATTAGTTCCAAAAAAACGAAATTTCTAAAAATTTACTATAGTTCGAGTCTGCATTCCTCAACTAGAATATATAGAGCCTCCTGGTTGGCGTAGCCTTAACAGCTGGTCTACAATTTGCCATAAAGGCTGATATCGCTCAGTTGGATAATTTCCAAGAAAATGAAAACTGAGACTTTCAAAGCTACGTTGAACTTACACAATATTCATTATCTATATTAAAGTAAACATAAAAGTTATGTTTTGATCATTCTAATGACGCAAAAGAAGCTCTAAAAAATAGGAAGAACTTAACAAATATTAGGAGGCTTGGAGATCAAACGAAAAAACAACAATTATATTTCAAATCGGTGGAGAAAAGGCTCCAAGATATTGTTGCAAGTGGCGATAACTTTCAAACAATTAAGTATGTAAATTCTGTTCCCACCATAGTAATGAAAACAAATGATCAAAATCTACCAAACAATTGAAAAAATCAATAGATCCTAATATGCATCAAATTGTCCAAAAAAGTAAAGTTTATTTCCATAAACCAAGATATTATTTATTTAAACATGAAAAGCCTTTACGCGCATAAGGTACAGTTATTCACAAATTTTTTTTGCTATAGTCCGCTTATTGTTATACTGAGTGAGACAAGAATTACTGAGGAGTTTCAAGATTCAGAATTATCAATAGATAACTACAATACTGTTTGTTGAAGTTAAAGTAAGTGGCTCATAGGCGGGCTGTACCGTACCATTCACCAAATGCAAGTCATGCCCTGTTTTTGGAATATTTAGAGGAAATAATTAATGTGTCTAAGTATTTCAATGGAAATTTTTTTTTTTTTGGTTGGTGATGTAAATATTGACTTTAGTAATAATGATGGTTTTTAGACAAAGAAAATTAAAAATATGTTAGACTCATGTGGCGTTGATCAATTGATATCAACATATACGAGGTTAACAAAGGACTCAAGAACTTTAATTGATTATGTTGTAAGTATCTTGGAAAATGTTAATGCAGGAGTAGTTAATTTGCCAAAAATTACTGATCACTCATTAATTTAAATAATTCTTTTCAATTGCTATGAATCTAGAATAGATAAATATATTTGATGATACTTTTTGGGAAAGTATTTCACGATTATTGTCATTGAATTGGAATTTAAATACTGCAGACGTTAATACTGTTGTAACAGAAATTTTAGAAAATTGTACGTTTGTTGTTGATCAGGTTGCACCATTGAAAAAAATTTATTGTAATTCAAATCAGGTACCATATTATGATGATGTTCTAAAAAATTTGTCTAAAGAAAAAGATCAAGCGTATAAACAATTTAAATCCAGCAATATCCCTGAAAGGGATCAAAAATGGGAGCAGTACAAAATCTGACGTAATAGATATATAAAACTCTCTCAAGAATAAAGGAAAGCTTTATTTTGAAAATAAAGTTGACAAAAATAAGGAAAATCTAAAAGAAATGTGGAAATACTTGAAACAGATCCAATAGTAATTGCAAATTCTTTCTTTACTAGCATTGTTGACATTTCTACCAGTATTTCCACGGCCCAACAGTGGTCTCCGGCTGGCTATGAACCAGTTTTGTGTACCATAGCTAGCTTTAGAGAAATAACATTTTCTGAACTGAGGACAATTATTTTTTCTTTGGGTAAAAATAATAAGGGTGAAACAATAAGCAGCGAATTTGTTAAGTAATCTTTCTATTATATAGGTCATGTCATTTTGAATTTTATTAATACTTCAATAAAGTCTGGTGTATTTCCAGATCAGCTCAAGACCAGTACAGTTACGCCTATACCAGAAGTTTCAAACACTGAAACAACTGCAAATTTTAGACCAATAAACACGCTACCATGTCTCGAAAAAATATTAGAATTGGCAATTTATGATCAATTGGTTAAATACTTCAATGAAAATCATCTTTTCCTCGACTATCAATCTGGTTTTCGCAAAGGTCATTCATGTGAAACCGCACTAGAACTTATTATCTCAGAATGGAAAAAGTGTTTAGATAATAATCAGTATGTTGTAGCTGTCTTTTTAGACTTTGAAAGAGCGTTCGAGACAATAAATAGAGAAACACTGTTGAATAAATTAGAATATTATGGAGTTACTGTGCTGGCATTGGGCTGATGGCTTCTTCTTGGGATCTTACTTAAGTGATCGGTTTCAGAGGGTGAGGGTGTGGTAGGGCAAGGTAGTGTTTTAGGCACTCCTCTATTTATAATATATTTAAATGATATTTATTAAGTTCCAGGTATACACAGAATCAACTTGTTTGCTAATGATACACTTATTTATGTAAGGGATAGGGAGTTAACAAAGGCACAAGAAAAAATTAATCAATCGCTAAAGAATATAGAAGTATACTTAAGTATTAGCAAATTAAAATTAAACGTCTCAAAAAGTAAAGCTATGATTATAACTACCGAAGCTAAACATAGAAATATAAATAAATTCAATAAATATTCAGATTGATAATAGGATGGAAATTGAAAGTGGAATAAAATATTTAGGGTATCTGATAGATAATAAACTTCGATTAGATAAACATGCTGAATATAATTATAATATCAAAGATTTCAGAGAAATTGTATTTTTTTCTTAGAATTTCAAGATAACTTTCTTTAGACGCTAGACTCGCGTGCTATAACTGTATCATCAGACCTCACTTTGACTATTGCGCTACACCATTGTACTTGTTTAATCAAAACCATACTTCAAAATTACAAAAACTACAAAATAGGGGAATGAGATGTATTCTAAATTGTAATAGATATACGCCAATTAGCACTATGCTAATAACTCTGCAATGGCAATCAGTTCGTGATAGGATTTATTACTTGAGTATGACATTTATATTTAAAATTACACAACAAAATAATAGACCAATCTATTTTGATAAATTTTTGATTCGCAAAAATGAAGTACACAACTATGGAACTAGATGAAGAAATAACTTCCACATAACAAGAACTAACTTAAACAGCAGTATGAACAGTTTATTTAATAAAAGTTTAGACGCATTTAACAAGTTACCTATGGAACTGAAAAATCTACCAAATGTAAATATACACACATCAAAATAGTCTAGGGAACAAGATGCAACTGAATACATTTATAAATTATTGAAGAAAATATAATTATGAAAGATTTTTAAATTTTTTTAAAGTCTGCTAAAAAAGCCGATATGATAAATTTGATAAGGTTTGTTCAACAAATACCCACGTTATCTTTTTGAGAAAAGTTGTTCTGTCTCAAAATTAAAAGACAAATATTTCTTGTTCCCTAGACTATTTTGTTGAGTGTATGTTCAAAAGATTGTTGAGCCAGCATATGCGAGGGGAATTTAATATACATGCCTAATTAATAGCTTAATAGTTTTGTAAGATTGAGATGACACCTTGTGATATTAGACTATGAGATCATCCTATTGTCCTTTTGTACCTATATATTAACATAATAATATGTAATAGTGCATTCTTTTACTGATGTATGATATTGTAATTTATTTTATTGTTTTGTATATTAGGCCAGTCCTACAATAAAGATACTAATTATTAATATTATTAGATTGACCTGATATGTTTCATTATAGTTTTGTGTTTGTTTTTTTTTTTTAATTTCACAAAATTTTCAATTTCAGTCAAAATCATTCATCGGTTGATTTTTTTTGTAAGAATCACCCAGTAAATGGATATATCGCAAACTTCAATTTCATAATTAATTACTTTGTTGAAACAATTGGCGAAGGGACAATTAAATCACGATAATTAGCAATAATAAATAAGGCAATGATTATGAAAAAAAAATCATCGTGAGTCCACGCATTATGAAAGTTGCATATATAAAAGAAGTAACTTGATTCTTGGTTTAGTTTACCAATTGATCTTTCCGTTTGTGTTTGATTTTGAAGTGCTGAGAAAAAATCATGAAGTTTGCTGTAAGTATATAGATAATTATTTCTTATATGAAACAAAATTAATTCATAGCTAGACAAACTAAAACATGAATCTCATAATTATTAAATTATCAAATTGGTTTCAAACAAATGCGATATTCAGGTCTTTCTATCAGTAGCCACACTGTCAATAAACTTTTCACCAACATACCTGCGTGTTACATTGAAGTTTTATATTTTTAGATCCTTTTGGGCATACTTAGTGTAATCGCTATGTCTCAGGCAACTCCAGCTGTACCTATAGCTATTCCAGAGGGAGCTTCTCAACCAATTGTTAGAATTTCTAGGGCGTAAGTATATAAATTTCTTCAATATTAAAATATAAAAAGCTTTTTTTGTATGCAGTCCAGCAGATGAAGCTAAAATTCCAGAAAAAGATTTGGAAGGTTCGGAAACAGCTTATGCGGTCTACCCTTACTATCAATATCCTTACTATGGTTATCACAGATATCCATACTATGTATACGGGAGATAAAAAACGTTGAATGAAAAATAATTTTATTTCAAAAAACCTATACCTTATATATTAGCACATAGGAAGAAGCTATTTCAATGAATTAACTGTAACTACATTGTATTGTACTTTTTTCTATTAAAATGGATCTGAATACTTGCAATAATTTTTTTCTTGTTTCATTTAAAATACTACCTATACTCATAAAGTTTTTACAGGTACCAGAATCTTTTTCAATATCAATTATAGTCGCAATGCCCAATGGCGGGCCTGATATGGACTTTTTCAAACTTATACGCCTTTCCACAGAAAACGGGGAGGCAAAATGCATGTGATCTTATCCTATAAATAAAATATATATTTATGTCATTAGGACAAAGTTTTGTGGTGAACTCAAAGTTCGAGTTTATCAGTGATACCAAGTGTTGCAATTGCGCGAAACACAAAAAGACCTGTTCTAGGCCTAGACCGAATGGCATTAAACATTTTATCTTCAAAGGAATGCAATGTCATCCTTTTTCGAAAAAAATATGAAGCTGCCACTATAATTTATGTCAAATCTGTTTAGTTCGATTCTCAAATCAATATCAGGTCACTCGTCACATTAAACAATTTTTGTTGAGTTGAGGTTCAAAGTAAAATTAAACGAAACCTCGTCGAAGAAATAAATGTCTTTATCTTCATTCTTCATCCAGTCTATAATTTAAGCTTCATTGCCGTGAACACTTGACACAGATTACCCATTACACATTGTACCTAGATAAAGATTTTATGTTTGGGGTAATTTGTTCGTTTTTGACTCGCCAGATGACTGTACCGTCAATACCAGCGCTATTATCAAAGCCTTTATGTTCTTTCAATTGCTCCGCCGAGAGCATCATTTATTCATAATTTGCACTAATTTGTTCGTTTTACATTTTTTGTTCCATAATATGGAATAAATTATTGCATAAATAAACTGCTGGAACAATTAAGCGGAACAAGGGAATTTTTAGTTTAACTTTGGATTCCAATATTACGCGAACTAAAAAAGAAATCAATAAGCGGCTTCGTAATTTGAAAGATAGTTCCGCAAACCGCTCAATGATATTTTTTTTAGTACGCGTAATATGGGAATTTAAAGTTAACCTAAACATTCGCTTGTTCCGTTCCATTTGTCCAGCAGTTTAAATACAAATAATCAAGTTGACGTTTCTGCTTGTTCACACGAGCATTTATGTTCTTAGCAGTGAAATGTGTTTCGAGTAACCTAATATTGAGTTTACATTTAAAATGGTCATAGTTGATATAAGTCATAAATTACAGTGGCAGCAGAAAACTGCTGAAAAAAAGCAGTGACTGAGTTGTGAAAGGAAACATTGTAGTTCCCTGCCTCGAAGATGAAATTTTTTATGTCATTCGACACAAAAGGACTTTTTGTGCTTCGATCGATCAGTCCTTCAAACTTCAAGCGCAGCACAAAAATACTCACTAACTTTCCTAGTGACATAAATAACTATTACTATAATCTATAAATATTTGTGTTCAAAATTTACTAAGAATCCCTTTTAGCCAAAAACAACCTGTACTTACAGTTTGAGTAGAAAGTGTCGAGTAAATTCAATTAATTTAGTATGCGGTTTTATTCCATTATTCTATTGCCAAAATATTGTGGAGACCAGAAATAATAAATTCTATAAAATATATATATTTCAAAGCAATTATCGAGTTTATTGTGCCATATCGTATTCTATCATTTAGTTGTTCACCAAAAACAAAACAGGTTCTATTTCCACATCAAATTTATAAATAATTTGAAAATTTTCCTCTATAAACCGTTTTTATTGTCATTATAATGAATCAATTTATTATGCAGATATTTGTGTTTCCGGGTTGTTGATTAACTTATATTTAAGTATTTCAATACGCTGTTTATTTTAAATGTCGGTTTATTAATTTTAATTATTAAAATTAACAGTTTGTAACTTGTTGAGCAAGTTATTCATAGCTTAGTGCCAAGTGTAAATGTAGGTAGGTAATATTTTGCTAGAGCCTTCCTTGCATGAAAAATTTCCGATCAAATCACATTTGAAAAGTTTCCAGATAAATGCCTACATGTTTGAAACGTTACCTAACGTACAAAATTTTGAAATTTAATTTACCGTAAAACGGGGATACTTTGTGACAAGGAGGAAAAAATTTAAATCTCTAAATCAGTATATACCCGTGTTTTTAATATCAGAAAATTATCAAGCTTATATTTCTTCACATTTCCTATCGTTTCTGACTAAAAATGACGGGATTACATTATGTTTTCATTGTAAAAACGCACTGTCACAAAGTTACCCCGCATCACGGGGTAAAATTGGGACACTTTCAAATTAAAAAAAATGCTGAATTATTTTTTTTTTTTTTTTCAATTTTCTAGAATTGCCATTTTGTAGCGAAACAACGGATGTACATAGTGAATTTTTCTTAGGATTCTATGTGGCAAAAAAATGTTTGAGAATTACAAAAAACCTCAAAATCTGTCACAAAGTATCCATGTTTTACGGTACTTAAAGCTTTGTTTATATAATATTTTCATGAGAAAAGGCTCTTGTTGTCTAATACCTACTTAATACATTAAGTTTTTTCAAAATTATGCTTCTAGGATGTCAATAAGAATTTTTCTGTTTATCACGTGGCCTGTATTTTTGAAGTCACCCTATTTTTGATACCTACCCTTCAAACATTATTCGGTAAAAACTGGATTTACGTTTTAGTCGGCTTCTAGTGTTTATTGGAGAAAATATTACAAATTCAAAAGGGAAAAACGAAGTTTTGGTTTAAGAAGGTGCAACTTCTATCTTCGGAGCTGTAATGAAGCTCAAAACATAGATAAACCTAGCAGAGGGACGTTTTTGGAGCGGCAACCTATGAAGTTTCCAGCCTCACACTAAACACTCAAAATTCGTCCCAAAATCCTAATTCGTTTTCTAGAAATTGCATTGTTTTAACAACCTCAGCCGCCTGTATGTACCATATGCATTCCAGAAATATAAAGAAACAGGATATAATTATTATGTAAATTCTCTTAAAGATCATTTTTTTCTTAAGATGCTGATGATAGACACAAGTATTTAAAAGGGATATATTATTGATTCTGTTCTACAGGTATTAGACAATGAAGTATATGTGTTTTTGTAAACCAAACAAGCAAACATTCACTTTATATCTACAAGTTGCAATAAAAAAAAACAAATTATGTAAATCGTTTCCAATAAGTCAAATAAGGAATTGTTTTTCATGTTGAATAATTTATATACATGACAAAAAAAAAATGATTGGATGGCAATAACGTTTTGACTAATAATAATAATTGAGCCATCTATTTAAGTTCGTCTTTTAAAATTGATTTAAAATTTTAAGATTTCACTGGCAAAATCCAAAAACTACAATTTTTATTTTTCGGCGGATACAATTTAGTAACTACCTACCTACCTAAGAAAATTTTTGGAAAATTTAATTATCTTTTGTGAACACTCAGGTTTATTACTATTATTATTATTGTGATCGGATCAGTTTCTAACTGACTGAATTTCACATAATCTCGAGCTCCAAATCTAAAACAGACGGTACAATGTACATGGCTGTTTCGGTATATTTTGAAAGTATATGGCTCGCCTATCAAGCAAGATAGAAAAAAAAAATGTAAATACAAGGTAAATAGGGATTTACGAGAACCGCCAGAAAATATAACTTTTATATACAAGGGCTCACGCAAAAGATGTGGCAGACTAAACTTGTATTTTTTCAAACGAAACACACTGTATATTTTTTATAATCGAATAGACATTATTTTCCTGATTTCAATATATAGCATGTTGATATTTCTTTCAACAGTTTTTTAGATATTTGCAATTGTTTTACCAAATCGCAGTTTCCATGAACGAAATAATTATTTTCTATATAGGTCATTAATAGTCATTATGAAACGATTTTGTAAAACGTTACTTTTAGATGATTTGAGCAATAAAAATTAATGAATATTACTTATTAATGACGTGAAGACAATTATTTTGTCATTGGAACTGCGATTTGGTAGAACAGTTACATCCATTTTCGAACGCAAATGCATATTTCACAATCGAGCGAAAGAAATATCAACATATTATATATTTTTGAAGTCAAGCAATTCCTATTCGATTAGGTGTAAGAAATATACAGCGTGCACCTTGCATATATAAAAGTTTCTAGCTATCGGTTCTCGTAAATCCCCATATAGGTACTTTGTATTAAATTTTTTTTCTATTTTGCTCTATAAGCGATCTATCAAAATATACGAAACAACCTTATACGCAATATTACTTTTGGAAAAAAGGCTTTTTCCCCTTATTTTGACACCGCTGAATCCGAAAATGCTGGTTGCCCAGGCGAAATCTCGACCAGAAGTGAGATATCCAAGATGGCTGTCAATATGGCGCCAAAACCCGATATCGGCACTGTAAAGCCTGCCTTTGACATAGAAATGCGTCCAAAATATCTAGTACCTAATAACCATCCGTCTTGGAACTGGTTTTTGAACCAGTTCCTGATCTTGGTTTTCACCAGGCAGGAAGCAACCTCAAATGCAGGATCTGGTCCTTGAGTTGACCTTCTCTGAGCAAAGGGCTCGGAGTGCTGCCTATAAATATGCTTGCCTCTGGAGATTCTCCTGAGCACACACCTGTATGACGTAGATCTCAGTCTGGTATACCGTTGGGTATCGATCCAGTGTAAGACTGATTCTTGCCACAGGTCTCTTCCCTTATACACCAGCTCCTGCATCCTCTCCTATCAGAGACCCGTCTCTGCACCAGATGAGCCCCTTCGACTTGAAGAAACCTGCAGGGATGATGACCTGGTATTGTCTACGGGGGTTTGAAGTTTTTAGCATTGCATCCCTCCTGGTGAGAAGGGGGTCCTGTCTGATTGTATCAGTCCAGTCCCTTGCATGTTCCATGTTCATCCCTCTATAAACCCATTGTCTCCAATCGTTGAGTCTGACTGAAACCTCCCAGACCTCCATAAAAAGATGAAGAGGCATTAATCCCAGTTTGGCCTCCATTGCTAGCGTTGGGTAGTTCTAAAGGCTCCAATTATAGCCATGCAAACAAGTCGTTGGAGATGGTCCAACTTTGCCCTGTAGGTGGATTTGCTAAGCGCCCT